ACTGTGGCTTCCTTTCTCGAGGTGACAGACCAAAAGATTTATATTTTTCTCCCTGTTGCAGATTTTCCCTCACTTCCTGTCTGGTAAAACCTTTGCCGACAGGAAGTGAGGGTAAATAAAGTAAAGGAGCCTTAGACAGCAGTAAAAACTCTGCAGGAGTTCTAATACTTCCCAATTTTTCTTTCCCTAGTTTCTGTTCAAAACTAGAAAACAAAACTAGAAAACAAAGGTATAGGTCAGGCCATGGCCTGACCTATACTTTGTTTATTTACTTATTGTGTATGACGCTTCAGTGGAGGGTGAGAAGTTTCCAGACATCTGACGGCTGCCCTGTCAACTTCCTATCAACTTCCTGACTTCACACCTAGTTTACTGAATAGGTGAAAGACACTGTGGGAGGTCAGACCGTTCATATCTATGGCTACATTAAAATGCATCTCTAGCCAATATTTTTTTTAGATATATTTGGGAAGCTAAGGAGATTTTCCTTAACTTCCTGTCAAGGAGAAACAGGAAGTGAGCAGCAGTCTCTCTAAAGTGAAGGGGAATCCCCTTTTAGACAGTTGTCATCAGACTGATGTCGCTATTGGAAGATTTCCCCTCACTTTCTGTTCTGTGGACAGTCACCCAGTGGTCACCAGGGCAAATCGTGAGGATGAATTTCCATGGTGACATACAGCAATAAAAACTTGTCATGGCATCTAACCCACCCCTGATCTATCCCTGTGATAACCCCCTTTATCTTCTCTGTGTACCCATACACCATATACAAAGCAAACTCTCGGAGTAGTCTTCGGTAAGCAGTCAGACTGGTGTGTGTGTCTTGTGTCTTGCTATATTGTGCTGCTTCTGAGTGGAAGTGAGGATACAGATGTGTTTCCTGTAGTAGAGTAGTGTAACATTGCAAGTGGGGCCTAAACATTTCAGACTTTATATACAGTATTTATTTTGCCTTTTTAGATCATCCACACGTGGCCTGACTTTCACTGCAGTTCCAAAGTATCTGAGCATTCCTTGTAGGGCTGACCATACACTGGTAGAATTTTCAACAAACTCTCAAATTAAAAATCTCATCAGAGCATTCAATAATTCCACCAGAGACACATATTGTCAGTATCTATTAGTTGGTTGGATCCCATAACTTTCTCCTCAATGCTGGTTGGAGGGCACAGCAAGCAGTGGGCGGATGCGGCAGGCAGCCTGCTATTGGCTATTGCACTATGAAATGGGCAATGGCAGGCTAGCTATTGCACCAACCCACTACCTGCTGTATTTGCATTCAGCTGTCGTCTGCGGAATCTTGCCACTGGCAGCTGTCATTCCCTGGCTGACGATATTCCAACGCCAATAATACAATTTAATAATAATTTTTAAAAAAATTATAAAAAGGTGGGAAAAAGGTAATTTTTTTTAGTTTTGGCCTGACAAATTCTGCTGCGGGTGGTGCCATTGGTTTAAATGATACCCTAAACCCGTTTCCCACCTACAGTGTGATCGCCCGCACTGGAAAGCACAGTGCCGCAATGCTGTGTGTTCCAGTGCAGTGTGATTGCAAAAAATTGTGCATGCAGTTTTATTCTGAAGAAACTGTTTGTAACACTCCTGGTTGTAACTCCGCTGGTTCGGCCTCATCTGGAGTACGCGGTCCAGTTTTGGTCGCCGGTACTGAGAAGGGATGTCCTTGAACTGGAGAGAGTCCGTAGGAGGGCAACCAAACTAATTAACCAGTTGACATCCGCGGTGTTAAACCCCCTTCCCATCCAGGCCATTTTTCAGTATTCAGCGCTGCGGTACATTGACTGACATTTATTCCGTCATGCAACGCTGTACTGAAATGAATTTTATACCCTTTTTTGGGGACAGATAGAGCTTTCTTTTGGTGGTATTTATTCACCACTGGGGGTTTTTATTTTTTTACTATTTTAAGGAAAAATTACCGAATTTTTAAAAAAAAAAACAGTTTCCCCTATATTAAATGATGATGAAACATTTATTATTACCCAATTTTTTGGTAAAATATAAAAGACGGGGTCACGTCGGGTAAAAAGACACCAAACATGTCAAGCCCCAAAATTGCGTGCGTGCGCGCGCGCGCGAGACCTCAAAAAACGATAATACCCAAAATTAGCCATAGGCGACGCTTTAAAAGCTGTTACCGCTCATCAGTTTAGTGTTATCAGTGATTGATGACCCTAAAATGATTGCTCTCACTGCGACGTTCGCGGCGATATGTAACATGTGTAGCGCAATTGTAATTTTTACGCGCTGGGGCACCGGACGCGTATTTACGTTTATAGGCGCGT